ACATATTTGGTTTTGGAATCAAGGTAAGCTGGCCTCATAAAATGAGTTAGGAAGTATTTATTTCTTCTTGCTCTGTTTTCTGGAAGAGATTATGTAGAATTGGAGAAGAATTTTAACTACAAATTAAAATATCTTGTACAAAAATAGAATGAATAAGATCTAGTATTCAGCATAATACTGTGACTAAAATAATTTATGGTATATTTTATTTAAAAATTTTTTTAATAGAGATGTGGTCTTGCTATGTTGTCTTGAACTCCTGGCCTCATGAGATCTTCCTGCCTCAGCCTCCCAAAGTGCTGAGATTACAGGTGTGAACCACTGTGCCCAGCCAATATATTGTATATTTAAAAATAACTAAAAGCATGGAATTGGAATGTTCCTAATGTAACAGACTATGCTGCCCCTCCTCCCATAGATATGGGAGGATAAAATTGACAGTGGGGAATATGTAACAGAAAAAAGGGCCTGAAAAAGGATAAAAATGTTTTCTGTCTCTTCAAAATCCCTTTATACTTTTTGAGAACTAAAACCTATATCCCTGCCTCAGTTCAGTGGATGGGAGGGGCAGGGGAATGTCCTTTGTTCCACAGGAGATGGCTCAAGGGAATTGTCTAGGCAGAGGTCATGAGAGTGTTTTTGTCGAAGCTGGGATTAACTGGAACCTTTAAAAGCTCTGTACTTCTGCTCAGAAGCAGGACATAGGGAGTCTGCCAACCTTCTCATTTGCTAGCAAATTAATAAATTTTTCCTTCCTTCTCCCCAAACCACCTGTCCTTGTCTTCTGATGTGGCCTCGGCGACAAGTGCTGAACTTTTGGCAACACTAATACAAAGAAATGATAAACGCTTAAGGTGATGGATACCCCGATTACTCTGATTTGACCATTATACATCCTATGCCTGTATCAAAACATCGCATGTACCCCATAAACATATACAACCATTATATACTCCTAATAATTAAAAATTTAAAAGATTTCTTTCATCGTTTTAGGATTATTTGGATTATCTCTTCAGATTTCTCTTTCTTGGGTGAATTTTGATAGTGTGTAATTTTCAAGGAATTGGTCCATTTTATCTCAGTTGTCAAATTCATGTACATGGAGTTGTTTTAAGTTTTGAGCACACAGATCCTTTTAATGTCTTCAGGTACCTTCTTTCATTCCTAAGTAATTTGTGTCCTCTCTTTTTAAAGTCAGTTTTGGTAGCGTTTTATCAATTTTATTGACTCTCCAAAGGACTAGCTTTTGGTTTTAGGGCTTTTCTCTACTGTTTTTCTGCTTTCAATTTCACTGAATTCTTACTGCGTAATTTTTCCTCCTTTCTATTTGCTCGGATTTATTTTGCTCTTCTTTTTCTAGTTTCCTTTGGCAGAAGCTTAGATTACTGATTTGAAACTGTTCTTTTATAATATAAGCATTTTGTGCTACAAATTTCCCCCAAGACACCTTTATCTACATCATGACTTTTAATATTGTTTTATCCTTTTCATTCAGTTCAATATATTTTTAAAATTTTCTGTGAGAATTTCTCTTTGATCCATGAATTATTTAGAGGTGTATGGTTTCATTTTCAAGCGTTCTGAGATTGTCTCTGTCCCTGTATGGCTTTTTGTCACCTAATCCATCTCTTTTAACCAAAGAGTAGTATTTACAATACTTCATTTTAGTTAATCTTCTAAAAGTAATACGGTGCTCTTTAAGAATTACTATTTCTACAACATTCCTCCCATATTAAAATTTTGACAACCTCTTTCATAAATCCCCCACCCTCTACTTTTTATATATCAGTTCCCTTAAATAATTTATCATACTCAAACATCTATTTTCTTTTGGAAGTCACTCTATACATAGGAGATGATGTCAAATTTTACTTTTTCTATCAAGTCTTTCCTAGTTTCCTGGTTCTTCTTAACCAGGAAGAACTGATTATTCTCTCATTTGAACAAAATACTGCTCAAATATTATCACAGCAACTTTTATTGTGATGATAAAACCTCGGGCCAGGAGGTGGCTCACACCTATAATCCCAGTGCTTTGGGAGGCTGAGGTAGGAGGATTGCTTGAGGTCAGGAGTTCGAGATCAGCTTGGGCAACAGTGAGACCTCATCTCTATAAAAAATAAAAACATGAGCTGGGTGCAATGACTGGCCCCTGTAGTTCCAGATACTCATGAGGCTGAGTCGACGGGGAAGATTGATTGCTTGAGCCCCAGGAGTTCGTGGTTACAGTGAGCTCTGATGGGGCCACTACATTCCAGTCCAGACAAACAAACAAAAAACTTACTGAGTGTGGAAGAAACAATATTCGACGTGCTTTTATCCTATTCTCTCACTTAACAACAACTATCATCAACACAGAAGACTTCTGTGACCAAGTATATGAGTTTTTCCTCACCCACCAAGCAGTGGACACCAACTAGGTGTCCTCTAATTCAACTTTCTGAGACAGGATTTTGAATTACCCACCAGGCCCAGTTAATTGTTTTTTTGACAGGGTCTCACTTTGTCACCCAGGGTGGAATGCAATGGCATGAGTCATGGTAGCCTCAAATTCCAGGGTTCAAGTGATCCTCCTGCCTTAACCTCCTGAGTAGCTGGGACTACCAGTAGGCGCGTACTGCCATGTTCGGCTAATTTTCTATTTTTTTATAGAGACTAGGTCTCACTGTGTTGCCCAGGCCAGTCTCAAACTCCTTGCCTCAAGTGATCCTCCTAACTCAGCCAAATGCTGCCAAATGAGCCAAAATGCTATTATAGGTGTGAGCCACCATGCTTAGCCCCTAATTCAATTTAATTCTGATGCTATCCACCTGGGGATAGCCTCAGATCCCACTGATGGAGGGGTCAGTCCCCAAGACGGCACCCCACTTCAGACACAAGTGGCAAGTCTGGGCCTCTGGAACTTCTGACCACCTAGCTATAAATCTGGGTTCCCACACCCCCTCCTCAAGTTTGATTAATTTTCTAGAGTGGCTCACAGAACTCGGGGAAACATTTTTACCGGTTTATTATAAAGGATATTACAAAGGATATAGATAAAAAGAGTGAGGTATGGGGAAAGGGGTACAGCATGCCCATGCCCTCCCCAGGTGTGCTGCCCTCCAGGAACCTCCATGTGCTCAGCTATCTGGAAGCCCTCCAAACCCTGTCCTTTGGGTTTTTATGGCGGTTTCATTATATAGGTATGATTGTCAGAGGTGGGGAATCTGCGGCCTTTTGTCTGAATTCAAATTTCACAGAACAAATCCAGATTTGGTCCAGGGGTTGCACTTGGGGATCTGGAGGGCCACATTTAATTAATTAATCATTAAACCATTTGCCATTGGTGATCAATTTAACCTTCAGACCTCCTCCCCTTCCTGGAGGTCAGGGAGTGGGGCTGAAAGTCCCAATCCTCTAATCCTGCCCAGGTCTTTCCAATGACCAGCCCCAATCCTGAAGCTATCTAGGGGCTGCCAGCCATGAGTCAACTTGTTGGCGTACAAAAAGACATCACTTTGGAGGTTTTAAGGATTTTAGGAGTTGTATGCCAGGAAAC